TGATAAAGCGTTATAAATTTTTGAATACCAAAAGTGAGGACCTCCTAATTTCATTGTAGGATTTAACAATGCAGCAACACCAAAAATAGGGAGGATAGGGAAAAAATATTTTTTAAACTTAGTTTTCATAGAATTAATAGCTTCTTGATAAATTACTCTACCCTCTGAGAATTGACTAAATAAATCTACAAGTGCTGCAATATAAACTAAACAGTTAGAAATAGTAGGATAATATTGGCCNGTGCCACTGTTGAAGCTTGAACACTTAAAATATCTCGAGTCATCCTTGAAAGAACCAGATAGTATTTTTGTTTGTCCTTCCACCATTCCAAAATATCGAAGGAGCCGTCGAGATTCTCTGATTCAAGTCGCTGCGACAAATAAACTTGAAGCTCATTTAGTTGTGAACTATCACCAAAATTATCACCTTAAGAACCCCTGAACTCCGTCCAAGAACTAAGGGCTTTTAGGCCCGCAGTTCTTTTAGATGCTTGCGAACTAGACGAAGTAGGAGTTGGAACATTTGGTCTAGCTTGATCTAAGGCAAGTTGATAAGCATTATAAATAGTTTGAGCATTTATTTTAATTGAGGCTTTTGCATCTCCAAGTGTAGCAAATTCCTCAGCTGAAAGTGATAAAGCGTTATAAATTTTTGAATACCAAAAGTGAGGACCTCCTAATTTCATTGTAGGATTTAACAATGCAGCAACACCAAAAATAGGGGGGATAGGGAAAAAATATTTTTTAAACTTAGCTTTCATAGAATTAATAGCTTCTTGATAAATTACTCCACCCTCTGAAAATTGAGTAAATAAATCTACAAGTGCTGCAATATAAACTAAACAGTTAGAAATAGTAGGATAATATTGGCCAGATAATTCATTTGTAGCAATATGAAATTGTTCTAAAAAGTCTACAAGCATTTTAACATTACTCCAATCTTGATTTGTAAGGTGCTCATCATCATCATCATCACCATCACCTACACGAGCATTATACGTTGCGCTTATTGGGTTTCTATATTCATATGCAACAACTAAACTTTCATACATGTAATTCCATCTAGTCGGACAAGGTTTAGGAACCTTTCTTTCTCTGAGGCCAAATTCATCACATCTTTTAAAATAGTCTCTAAGTCTACTTCTACGGTTTGAATAAAAAAGCCAATTAAGAGTCATTTTAACCTTTTCAATTTCTACACTTAAAACTTTCATACCAGCACCGACGATTAAATTATAAATATGACAAATACATCTAACATGAAAAATATTACTAAATGCAGGATTTAGTGTAGTTGTAAGCAAGCCTATAGCGTTAGTGTTACTAGAAGCATTATCCATTGAAACCGACATAATTTTATCTTTAATGCAAAAATATCTACAAATATCTGCAACCGTGTTAGCAATAAACTTATCTGTGTGGCGTGAATTAATTATTCTATAAACAATAATGCGCTTTTGCATTATCCACTCCTCATCTATCCAATGACTTGTAACAGTTAGATAATCACAGTCATTACCACTTCTACCAATAGTAGTAGTAATAGCAATGCAACAATCTATATGAGTAAATAAATAGCGCAGATATTGTTCATATTCATGTTTATATTTATAAATATCGCTCTTTACGGTTGCGTGAGGCCATCTTTTATAAGTAGGATTAAAAACTCTTCTAATATAATGCACAAAATGAGGGTTAAAAGGAAAACTATAGGGTAAGCACATAACAATAACCATTTTTGCCAATTCTTCACGATCTTTATTTGGATTATAATATAAAATGCCACCGGTAACAGTGTTAATTCCCGGTTGAACTAGATTTGAACATGTACTAGGGTTAACCGTAGTATCTACACTTGTCCCCTCTTGCGGAGCTTTCATTTGAAAATATCTAGCTTTATCTCTAGGGTGTGCCTTTATGTGTCTAGTCAAACTACCCGTACCGCTACGGTCTCCATTAAATTTATGAACCAACAAAGACCCACAAGTTTTACACTTAGCCTTATTTTGTTCTCTTAGTTGAGTAAAAAAGTGCCAAACAAGAGATGTTTCGGGCCGTTTAGAAGGTTGTCTATTAAAAGTAGGGGTTATTATAGGAGGGTCAGGCCATCAGTTGGGTTATTAACAGGACTAGTAGGTGTATCATCTAAATCCGGTTGCGTTTCATCTAAATCATCATTTTCCTCATCATTTTCAAAGATAGTTTGATTAGGATAAAGAGCATTCATAACTTCTTTATTTAATTGTTGACCTGGTGCAACATCATGTCAAAATTGACTATCGGAAAATTGAAAACAAGGGTTATCACTATCAAGAATAATAGGTGGAGGAGGACGGGTAACAAGTTTGGGTCGGGGAGCCGGGGGAAGAGTAGTAGCTTGGCGACTAGATTCACCAATTTTAGATTTTCCCTTACCCTTACCACCAAATATTTTTTTCAAAGAAAAGTCCATATTAATTATAATTATACTAAATAAAACAAACAAAACTATAAGATTAAAACTTAAGAGTTGGAACGACTTTACCGAATTGACGAACAACTTCTTGAAAATTGAATATCGTTGAAGACTTGAAGACTTGAATACTTCAATTCACCAACTTCACAATTTTTCACGAAATTGCAATAATAAAGTAATCAATTATAGAAGAAAATTAGAGAGATTTATAAATTTGTGAGTAAAAATGAAATAATGAGAGGGTATTTATAGTTGAGAATTGGAAAAAAGTGTAATTATAAAAAGTTTAGGGTTAAAATGGCTATTTTTTAAACTCCCAAACGGTTGGAAATTGAAGACCAACGACTAGATTTTAAAAATTTGACCGTTGGTCATTTTAAAATTTTTTTTATAAAAAATAGCCGTTGGGGCCCGGTTGAACCGGCCCAGGCCCGCCTACCGGTCCCGGGCTCACGGGATATTTGGGTTGGACCGGCCTGCTACGGGCTTATGCATCATTAGAGACCGGCCCATTTGAGATCAGCCCGTTTGGCCCGTTTGGCCCGCAGTCTCGGGCCGGTCCCGACCCACAATACACCCTTAATGTGGGGTAGTTTGGGTTCAAGCTTTGAGTATGAAGTCGTTTTTGTTAGGGAGCACTTTTCCCCAATATAATGCTTTTCAACACGAATACAAATTTAATCAACAATATGAATATCGAAAATCGAATTGAAAAAAAAAAAACATACTAGACGTTGAATTCTCCAATCTTAGCCTTGTCCAAAAGATGGTTATATCTCATTACTACGTTAGGTTAAGGGTAAACAGATTTTCTAGAACATAGCCATATGTCTTGGTCGAATAAAGAACATAGGATAGACTACCAAGAAAGGAGCTACACAAAGGGAAGAGCCCACCAATTTCTAAAGTTACCTTTCCTTTTATCATATTCTAAGTTCTAACGCATTTTCTATAGAGATTTTTTCTTTCCTATACCATATATGAAACTTTATTACCAAAAATGTACATAGTTTTTAATTTACCCGCCCTGTCCATATTTTTTCTACAATTATTATACCAATCATTAAATACTAATTAATAGTAGCTGAATCTTTCTAATTTGTCAAGCTAAAATTCAGGAGCAGAATCTTCTAAAAAGATTTGGCGT